ATCATAACCTGATGCAGGAAGCATATTGTAATACTCTGAAGAAGCTAAAAGAAGCAATAGAAGAACCTCAAAAAGAATCCATGGAGTTCATCAATTATATGCATTCTCAACTCAAGGAGCTCGTGGATCACAAATCTTCTGGTAATAACACTCAGAATTTCTCTTTTTGATAATTGATATATTAATTTATGCAATTTTCAACTAATTAATGTCTAAATAGCACTGTAATAAGACATTGCTGCACTTAAACAAACTTACCCTTTTTGTAGGAGACAGCCGAGAAGTTGGTTGACGTTAAATAATTTGGAGAAAATCCATGGATGGAATAGCCCTTGTACAAGACTTGTTGATGAGTTTGGTGTGTTCAGTACTGAACAGTAATAAGAAATAAAATTAATTTTGCTCATATTATAGTTATGTACAGTTCGTTATTGCTTACACCCAATATATATTCAACTTGTTCGAGTTTAACCAGGTTTTCGCTATCAATCGTGCTACAAGTACGCTACCCTTTACATCTTTGTTGACACGCTTCCACATGGAACCATTGAAGTCATTGATTTTGAACCTATTTATTACATCACAGCTCAAATTTCTTTCACACAGAGAAGATGTCAACCACAACGTCATGGAAAATATACATCTAACATTATTCTTTTGCTATTTTGTCTATCCCTTTTCAAAAGTATATATGAATGCATCTAATATGTATTATAGATGACACGTATACTAAAGGCTTGTTTGATATAGCGACTTTTTGCTTAAAAAAAACTTGATCAAACCACATTTTTAAACTCGCATTTCATTCAAGCTACAACTTTTATTCACTTTTTAGCCACAAGTTTCACTAACCCAGTAACTTCTATCAGCTTTATTTGCTAAAAATTTACACACTAAAGTCTAACATAGCAACAATAAGAGTGGCCTCCTAAAAAAATAAAAAAATCTAATTTGATTATGAAAACTATTTAACAATCACTCTCTCTCCACCAAAATACTACAAGGCATCTCTATAGGGCCACAGCACACAATAAAGAAAAAATCCGCAATCTTCAATCTTGAAATCCTGTGTAGCCATCCTCTCAAGCCTCAAGGTAATCAGAATTGTAAACAAAATTGATCTAATGTATAATTTTCGAGGCATTTTTCTTTGAACAAGTTTAATGGATATGTACTAGAAACTCAAAGTATGAAAGTCTACTTGGAGTCTTGTCCTCTACCATGTAGGAGAAAAAGGTTGTCCTTGAAACAGCAAAAGTTCCGGATTAGAGAAAACCACAGCAAACTAAAAGATACTGTAATAAAAATCCAAAAATTTGTTCGATATCAGGTCCATGCTTTGCTTTGCTTTGCTTTCTTCTCTTTTCATTTTTCCTCGGTTTGGATAGTTTAAATACGTTTCCATTCACTAACCTGATGGATCTCCTTTTCTGCACAATTTTAAGCTGCAGTACGAGGGAAAAAATAATTACTTGCTGAAAATGAAACATGTAGAAAAACAATGACTTTATTCAGTGAAGTAGTCCTGGTTATTGTCAAAAAACAACATTTTCATACCGTAAGTAGGAACATCTCTGACGCCTTATCTCATCGATAAGGCCGTTCAGCCTCTTTGACAATGGATTATCATATTGCTGCAGTACATACTGAAAAGGAAAAATTAGGAAATTAAGGCATTTTGCCAGAGTAAAGTACCACAGTAACGATTAAGTGGGAATACTAATGTGGAACATCCGAACATCTAAGTTCCTAAAAAAACCCTGTAGGCAGAGAAGTTCCCCAGATAACTTGAAAGCCAAAGGAGCATGTTTGCATGTTATTCCCAAATGATATCAACATCATCTAAGTAGTTTAAAGATGCCGAGTAAGTTGAAAATAATAAAAATGTTCAACCACGAATGTGTGTCAGAATACCTGACTAGAGATTTCTTCAACCAATGAAATGCCTAACTGGCGCAATATATTCGGATTGACAGAGTTACCAACATAAATTAAACAATCTTCACCATGTTTGAGAAGATAAATTCCCTCTCAGTGATGTGCTCACTGGAAAGTGGAACTGTCTAGGGAACGAGGGAATCACCCAGCTCCTGACGATTCAGCATTCAGATAAAAGACAAGGGGTATGCCCAGAACACCTATAACGAGCAACATGAACAAATTCATACCTTCTCATCAAGGTTGTGAATAGCTATCATCCTAGGTTATACCAATGGGATTGTCAAGGGAGCGGATAAATGGGAACATAATTAATCCAAAATGACCTATCATCAACTCTTCGATCAGCTCGCAATCTACAGCTTTTGAGTAAACCTGAAAAGTTAAGAGGACTACATTAAAAAATAAATAAATGAGAACGGAATCCCAAAATGGGGAATATACCAGAAGACATAACACTCTGTTGTGCAAAAAATCAGGTCTAATTATAACTACAGAGGCAAAAAAGTGGAGTAATAATTCCTTAAAAACCATGTGAAAATCCTAGTCAAAGAAAACTAATCCAGGTCCAATGGTCACAAATTTGCTATTTTGTATGGCTCTAATTATACAAAAACTCTAGGAATATAAATATATAAAAATTTAAGAAACCGAAGTACACTTTCCTAGATATATGCAGCTTTGACAACAAAACTTGAGGATTCAAAAGACTTATCTACAAGAAATCTCATCCGTTATTAATGGGCAAAGTGGCCCTATTATTGTTTTCTTTTAACAATTAGATTACACAAGGTGCCATCATTGAAGCACAAGTCAACACAACTTATAAACAAGACAATAATTATAGAAGCATTTTGGCATAAAACTGGAATTGCAGTAACACAAGTAAAATCCAGTCTATAAAGGACCACAATAGAGAATTGGAACTGCATGAGCCAACATGATTAAATATTTGGTAGGAGAGACTCCAGACAAGGTCAAGAGTCCAACGAGATAAAAACATGGTACCCGGTCAGTAAATACAAATTTCGAAGCAACATGACACACACATACCAAGTGTGTACAAAGGTAACAATTTAAGTGCCTCAGGAAGAATAAGCTGTCCAGAAGCAGAAGCTGATGCGCAGAACTTGCGATATGAATGCAGAATGTTGATGTGAAGGTTTTTGCTTGCTCTGCAACTTGTGGTAGTGGAGTCGAAGGAACTTCACTAGTCACTGTCATATGAGAAAAATCAGGGTACTGGAGTTAGAATGCTACGAAGACTTGGGATACTTTCTAGCAATAGCTCTAAATGTTGGCGGCACTGCATTAACAAATTGCAATCACTCGAGAAACTTTGAACATAAATGAAAGAATTAATACTTTGAAACACCAAAAAATAAAACTATATACTCAAAGAGGAGTGGATTGAACAATGACAATTGACACAAAGCTGAAAGTAAACTATTTACAAAGTTGGAAAATCAACATTATTTGAAAAGAAAAGAAAAATGGATGATAATTAACCTCACAAAGTTCTACAACATCATTTTCGAGCGGAGTGTAGACATCTTGTATGTCAGGGACTATAAGTAACAAAAGCAGAAAGCAAAAGTAAGTATCTAATACCCCTTCTACTTTGAATGGCATTGTTAAAGCTAGACACTAGTTTGTTCAAGGTATATGATGAGAATACAACAGGTTACAGGGGCTTTTCATATCAGGAACAAAGAAAAATAAATGCAAACATGGCACATTATGGAAAACGTAAAAATAATTGTAGATCACTGTCACCAATGTAAGCAAGGATCCCGTCTCCACCCCCCCACCCCGTCGAAATCAATATGCTTGATTTATAACTGAAAAGCTAACATCCATCTACCAACCTGCTGCAATGCACGTTTTAGATTGTAAAAGTGGATATTTGAATCAAATGTAGCAACGCCCACCACTGTCCGAGGACCCTCCTGCAACGATAAAATCATCAAATGTCAAACAGGTCACCGTCTCAGATTATATATAATGTGATATACAATGACAGTCCAAAGAATACAGGTATAGAGCAACTATCAAAATCTACATTGATAGCACACAATTTTTCAATTTTCATCTTACATTTTCTTCTTTCCTGTTAGGCAAATTGTTGTCAAACGATCCCCCGGGCAATGATGAAATACGTTGTCTTAATTCAGTCGGCATAGTCCAAATGACTGAAAGTTAATCGAACACCACAATTGGTAAACCAACCCTAAACCGACCCAAACTTGGATGGCCCACCTATGTTTTCTACTTGGGCCTTATTTTGTCTTATTGGGCTTAACCTAAAAGCTATACCTAATACTATATGTATGCCATACCCGTTTCTATTCATTGGTGTG